GGAAACGAAGTCATTTTAAAGACAAGTCACCTGCATTTTCCCTGCCAAGTCCACGACATCGAGTAGCTCTCTCTTGATGCGCCGCTTGTGCGCATGCGTCGCACCCACGTGATCACGTAGTTCCAATGCCACGTCCGTCAGATAGCGCACAATGTCGTCTTTATTGTTAGGAAACGCCAAGATGTCTACAGCGCCTTCTCGTTGCCTAGGCGACCGACGGAGAGCGACGGGCATTATCATACTGGGTGCGTTCAGCTGCAAACAGGGCAATTATGCCACCTGCCTAAGCTCATCCGGCGTCAAAGGGAATTTACGAGTAACGTAAATCAAAATTGTCTTTAAATATCTGCCTGCGTAATTTTCTACTCTGTTAGAATCAGTAGTTTTAATTTAAGGCGTTGAAATCGACTCTATCAGGAGCAATTTGCCTGGTTCTAGCATCATATTTGGTTTTCAAAGTGGTTTCCTACCGAATATTCTTTACATATTTATTGTTTAACCCATCCTGGGCACATTCTCTGCGCAATACAGTTCCTCCGCCACTGAACAACTGTAATAATAATAATAATAATTTAATTCTTTCATTGGTATTATGTCAAAACACGCTTATCGCTTGTTTTTTTTAAAAAAAATGTGAAATATTTATCGACCACACTGAGATAAGTAGGAAAGGTTTTTTTTACAAATTATTCTTTCTTTCTGGAGGAGACAACATTCACAATCTCTCGAGGAGACGAATGAAACTATTAAGTCAGTTCTCAGAAACGGAACGCGGAAAGTGAGTGCAAAAATTATTACGACTGGTTGAGTCAGTGTTGCTCAACCAGGTGATACGTCGCTTACTGTTTCACAACGCACAAATAGAAATGAAATGAAATTCCATGATGCATTCTTAATCGTTTATCTATGCCCCTACGAGTCGAACAAAAAGATTATCCTTGTCTCGTTCAAATCGATTAACAGATAATTTATAAAATAAATAGCACGTCACTGTGTCTGAAGGCCTCCGAACGCCAAGATGTCTGTACAAAGTATAACGCTGAAAACAAGGCACGTGGCTAGATCTGCATATGCATTAAACGTCACTTAAGACTGGCTGAGAACAGAACTCCCATGTAGAAAGATACAACGATAACATTAATACGTATAATGAGTTTAATTTTCCCCAAAATTTAAAAATTCCCGTATTTAGTCAGCAGGTTTATTTTTTGTTTAACTTCAAATCCATTGTAACTTGAGAGTTATTGGTCTTCCGTCTTTTACAGCAGAGAAACTACATTCCGGCATTGTCCACCCGGAGGACAACTTTCTGTCGAATCTCCATGGAAACAGGGGGCAGGTACGCGAACGTCGTTAGACATTTACTCACGTGGATGACGTTCAGTGACGTGTTTGAGGGATGGGGTTTGACAGTGACTTCGAAAAAGATGGGAACCCCATATTGCGCCATCAGGCGAGCCACGTGACCCCACGTAACACTGCCGTTCCAGCTGTCTGATATGAGGGGCCAGCCACCGAGGTTCTTGATCATCCGAAGCAGAGGACGAAGCCCGCGTTGCTGTCGGGTCTCTGTGAGGGCGGAAATTAGCAAACGGCGACAGTGAGCCAACTTAACGTATTACCAGAAAAAAAAAATACGGTAACAAAATTCGAAGCGAAATGATACAAAGGTAGTCAGAAATTTGATTTTTTTTCTGAGGAGAACTGTGTCCACAGGCGGAGAAACTCACATCCCACATTCAAAATTGTTATAAAAAGCAAATATTTCTTGACAAAGAATAATAAGCGGTAATAAGTTGTTGGATTTCTCACTATTGCAATGACTCTGCTAAAATTGTTCCAAGTTCCGTGTGCAGTAAAATGTATTTTGTCGCAGAAACAAACTCTGTGAGCAAGATAAGCGAAAGATTTTTTTAAGCGTGCCTTCGCGTGTTTAGAGAAGTCACCCCAACTTATGTGCACGTTACCATCGTCCATACAAGCAGCGTACATGGTCTTGGCTTTCGTCAGGGCCCCGGAGTCGGTGCGTTTCTTCGGCGATGACAGAATTGCTGCAGAGACAAAGGACAACGCGTTAACCAAACTTGAGGCAGAAGGCAGCACGTTACTTTACCGACACGCCAACGGTGTCGATAAAGATAGGGAATTTCTCATACGAAAAGTAAGTGAACGATTGTCAGACACGACAATTTGCTATTCTGCGATAAAAAAAAAATATCACCATCTTCAACCATGAAAATGAAGGGACTGTGTTCCTCTGAAACGTTGGTGTTGTGTACCTACAAGTCCACGTGGCGTTACAACGCAGAAGACCAACATCGACATGCCAATCCCTCGGAGCCGAAGCTAGTCTAAATATTATTTAAGAATTCAGTTCGTACCGCAAAGAAAACTCGACACGCGAAGGTTTCTTTTAAAAAAAGTCGTGAGACAAATACACCTTAGGTACGGATGGAATGACGATTAAATAAAGAAGTTTCTGCTCAAAATGTCGCAGTTGCCGGCTACGTACCTCTGACTGCATGATCAGTGGCGTTATTCGCTATTTCGAACGGTCCCCAGCTCAAGGAGTCGTTAACCGTAAAGCTGGAAGTTCTGAATTTTCCACAAGAAAATTCGTAGAAATCTGTGCATGGGTCCTCGTTCGGTTTCAGACAATTCCGCAAGTACCGAGCTGCAAGCACACAAATTTCGTCATGAGACGTGAACACGGGCGTAGTTCGCATTTCACGAGCTGAAATTGTAACACCAAGAGCCCGTTTCTGACACAGACGAGGACTGAGATCACAATCGAGGCCCATCGCCTGGAAGACGACATCAAACAATGCGACCCGGAGATCGTCAAGACCAAAACTTACCTTCTTTCTTGCACTGGTTAGTGAGGCATGGCTTGCTACAGCTCGCTACTGCAGCCAGAGTCGTAACCAGGAGCACGACGGTTCGAGACCTGCGCACAAAAGCACTTGGCGTTCACTCACAAAATGATTCTGTCATATTAGAGACATTTTCGCCAAACTCAGACGTCAGCCTAGCTACGTCGACGACAGAATCGTGTCATCAATTGGAAAATGAAATATCCCGGCAACGATGCCATCGACAGACTCGATCCTGATCGATATATCGACAGACTCGATCCTGATCGATATATCGACAGACATCGACAGACTCGATGACAGACTCGATCCTGATCGATATATCGACAGACTCGATTCTGATCGATATATCGACAGACTTTCTACATTCGATTCTTCACATTCTTCCTGTTAAAGGAGACAGTTCGTGTTACTTTGAAACGGTAAAGTAGGATCAGTTCAAATTGTGCATCCCTGAGAGGGCAATCGATCAAACTGATAGGCAGAGTGTTGATAACGCAGGGCCCCGACTTCGCTGGCAAAGTACGCTGAGCTTCTAAGAAACAAAGGTGGACTTACAATTGCCATTTATCCCGTCAGCCCGATAATCACGTCACCCCATTCATACACTTTTATTTCTCAAAGTGGCAGTCACACGGACATCTTGGACCAAAAGCACTTTATAACTTCATGCCATAATAAATTCCCTGACAAGTGCAACCGTGACTTAATTGTATTCTTTGTATTTGCCTCGCAATGGTTCAGATTTTAAAGCTGCCGTCATCAAGTAGAACAGATGTTCTGTCATTTAAACGACACCTGACTCTTAATTACAATTACAAATTCGTGTACAAGAAAAATACTGCGCTGCTCTCAAAATTTTCGGAACGACACTGAATACAAGTCTGATAAATAAAATGGCCGACACAGCTGCGTCTAGAGGATTCGAGGCCCTTCACAGTTCTGAAAATAAAACTTCGTAGAGAACCAAAATTACTCTTAAAGAATAACATCTAAAAGCCGTCGGATGTACACTTCCGACGACACGAACGACAAAAGTCGTTTAGTAAACACTTTTTCCCTCTGAACTTCTCTCATGGTCCACAGAAGCGATAAATGAAATCTCTTCCGCTTTTCCCCCAATTGTTCAACTGTTTGTCCATCTCTGGTAACCACGGAAATGCAGAGACAAAGGAAGAAGTTTGAGGATGCGAGAGAACTCCGCCTTCTGTCTCATTACCTCATTCCTGGCGACGTGATGACAACTGCAGACAGCGCCACACTGTCGTCCAAGCGGCTGATACTGAATCCCGATTCTCAGATAAACCGATTTCAAGAACACTTGCACCTCGAGACGCGACGCGACACACTTTTGGCACCAAACTACAAACACCTCTCATACAAGAAGATGCCACAAGACTTTACGAAACCCTCTGAACACGTGGTGCGCGGAAGATTAGGGCTGGTGGCGTCTAACAACTTTGGGCGACTGAGCACTTAGTATCAAAGAGAGGAGAAAATAAGATTTGAGATTCTGTAGCAGCCACCTTCTTCCAGAAACGTTTCCATTTTACGAGCCAATGGCCAAAATGTCTTGTCTTCACTTCACGATTTCTGACAGGACCATCTCCTTCTTGATACACTTCTCAAAACGAAACCCGCGTATGGAGACACTAAACCTCAGCACGTGGAAAGTTGTTTTTATTAAATGCAAAACTTTATTTATTTAGAATAAGAATCTTCAGGAATCGTGAATGAACTGCAACAAATCTTTTAATCAAATTATCGCTTGTGCTTATTAAATTGCAAGGAACGATAAAAAGATTTCTGTCTTCTGGGTGACGGAGTCAGTATGACCTCTCAAACGTTGGTTAACATCGACCAGACTACACAGCGCAACAACCCAGAAGACAGAAATCTTCATCGCCCTGATGATGGAGGCAGTATGACCTCTGAAACGTTGGTAAACATCGACCAGACTACACAGCGCAACAACCCAGAAGACAGAAATCTTCATCGCCCTGATGATGGAGGCAGTATGACCTCTGAAACGTTGGTAAACATCGACCAGACTACACAGCGCAACAACCCAGAAGACAGAAATCTTCATCGCCCTGATGATGGAGGCAGTATGACCTCTGAAACGTTGGTAAACATCGACCAGACTACACAGCGCAACAACCCAGAAGACAGAAATCTTCATCGCCCTGATGATGGAGGCAGTATGACCTCTGAAACGTTGGTAAACATCGACCAGACTACACAGCGCAACAACCCAGAAGACAGAAATCTTCATCGCCCTGATGATGGAGGCAGTATGACCTCTGAAACGTTGGTAAACATCGACCAGACTACACAGCGCAACAACCCAGAAGACAGAAATCTTCATCGCCCTGATGATGGAGGCAGTATGACCTCTGAAACGTTGGTAAACATCGACCAGACTACACAGCGCAACAACCCAGAAGACAGAAATCTTCATACTCACCACTGCGTAAACCTCAAATCTTACGATAAAAAAATATATTCATAGTTTGATCTTCTTGTATAGTTAATTTATGTAACAAATTAGTCGTTCGATAATTGCGGACGTTAACATAAAAGTGACACACTGTAAATTAAATACTAAAGAACATTTACCAACTGCAACTCTGAAATCTGTCGGCCAGTAAGCAGTTCTTGACCGATATCAGAGGAGAAGTTGCTCTTATGGTCACGCCAGAAAAGGTCGGTCAAGGATGGGAAAGCGTTCCATTTTAACTCGTAAAATTGTAATTTTTATTGTAAAACATGATACATATTAAATTCTGGAACTGGAATGACTCAATAAAGTGGAAACCAGGAAGGGAGAAGCGGCGTCATCTTTCACACACGGGGGTTTCTGTTGCGTTTCTCTTAAACAACGCACAATTCTTGTATGACCTGCACCGCTGCGCCATAAGATTGGCTGTTCACACGTCAAACCGTAAAGTTCCGACACAGTGCGACTGGAAACACAACACCAACCAATGTGGGATGACACAAGAGAAACACGACAGCAACAAAATTCTGTTTATTCTCAATTAAATACAGAAACCTGTAGCAAAAGATACCCAGACAACATAATTTACAGCCCCAAGTCTATTTAAACAGGAATAAAGTACAAAGTGATCAGCCCCCTTGCAGTTGCAGGCAGAAGATTGCAGGAATGAAAATGCTGCCGAAACTTAATCCACTTTCTTTAAGTACCCTCAACTTAACACGTTCAATCTGATTTTGGCATTAATTCTCGTAGTTTGATCCACAATGATGAGTAGCAGCAATTTATACAATGAAGATGGAGGTGACATGTTCCTCCAAAACACTGGTCACCATCTACACAGCGTCGCCATCCAGAAGCTCGCAAACCACATTTTCGCCCTCGCGAAACCCTCAGATCTCATAAATAAAAAAGTATCAAAATATTGATATTTCAATATGGACGAAAGAAACTTGGCTCTTTGGCAAAAATGCCCGGGGCTACGGAGGAAACCCACGTATTTCCAGGTGCGTCTGACACGTTAATAAAAACATCACAGTGGAATGTATGGGAAGTTAGATCAAGAATCTTGGCTCGAACATCTTTGATTTAAACGCCCCTCTACAAAGACGGAAATGGGGCCAACTGCCCTCTATTCAGACATTCTATACAATAAAATGGTTTTGCACGATTCACAAGCAGAAGATTCTAAAGCCACGTGCTTCTACTTTTCTGTAAATGTGTAGCTGGAAGCCATCTATGAATGAGAAATGAAAGACAAGCATCTGTACAGAGGATTACTCACAAGTGACAACTGTTCGTCAACACAGCCGACGTAAAATACAAATAAACCATTTTTGTACGTCGTAACTTTTTTTTAACAGGCGACGTTTTTGACAGAACAAATGTACCAGGAAACGCAGTGTCATATAAGTGACACAAATCACAAATTATACCTGGGCCGCGGACAGAGAAAACGTGAAAACAAAACACGCCTTTTAATGCTGCTTCGGAGTTGTATTTGTCCATTTCATTAATTTTTAAAACAGGAACGGAACGTGCAGACATTATTCAAGGTGGCACAATGACTGTTGAAGCAGCGACACAGAGTTCGCCAGTCTCGTCCGGCTCACGCGATTCCACGATCTCCCTGCCAATTACCACGGGCAAAAGCCCTGAAAGGAATGCGGGATCCACGCAGTAAAAGACACAAGAAGGTTATGACGGCACTTGATGAGATGACAGGCAAGTGGGAATGCTTCCAGCAGTGGTAACGGCACTGGCGGAAATGAGCGACAATAAAAGGAAATTAGTTCCAAATCAGCATGCGGTAAATTCCACAAAGACGACGGGGAAGTTAAACTTTAAGATTCGCTGAAATAGAAGCAACTGGAATTTCTTTGTCCCAAATTGGCATCAACAATCAAGTTGCTTAAAGAAAAACTGAAGAAAGAATAATCAGCGCACAAAGTGGGCAGGATCCTTCACACGCTGTCTGCCTCTCAGTGTGACATTCATACCAACTTCTTACAACCAAGTGATAAGCAGAGGACACGTGACGATGGATAAGTTTCACGAAAACGCACAATTCAAGAGCACAAGTAATGACGAGGCTGCATATGACATCTTAAAAATATAATAACGAAACATGATATAACGTACGCTAAGGATGAAGTTCACATTTCCCGACTGTTCTGCTGGGCACGTCAGGATTCTGCACGGCCGATGCTTAGAGGTTCGCTTTCTACTGAATGCTGTTCATATTTGCCTAAAGAGAGAGCACGATAATGCTAAATATTTTGTTTCAAACACGTACTGCTGCTTACTTTTCTTAGACACATGCATCTTTCATGTAGGCAATACACAATTTTCACAATGTGGCAGAACAAAGGTTAAGCAAAGAATTCATTTTAATTTGTGCGTATCTGAAGATGGAGACTCCATTTCCTCTTGTTTCAGCACGTCCTATAAAAATAACGATGCCAACAGAGTAACGCAGTGCAGTTGTCTGCTTTGCCATGTTTATTATCGTGTCCCACGGGCCAGAACCCACGTATTCAATTGCCAGCATATCCCGTAAACACAGACCTGAGTACACATTTTGAAGACCGCCGTATGTCATACGTTATAGTTCGGCAGCTTAGGTTCCAGGCGACGTATCAGCGCGCTGACGTGCATCGCTACCGCTGACCCAACACATGCTACCACCTGCCAGTTGTCTCGCAGCTCCCACACTACCGCCGTGAACAGACACAGGACCACCATCACCACCCAGCTCTCCAATGTGCGATACCGTGAGTGCAGCAGCAGGAGATAAACCTGTCACATTAGCACACACAATGGAGATTAGAACTGCATACACAATTTTACTCACCACTTGGTGAGAGTAAAATATTAAAGCAGAACTTTAATAAATGGGGTGTAAGAGTGTAGATTGGACTTGACTGGCTCAGGACTGGGTCCCTTGTCGGATTCTTGACACCATGAAAATAAATTTTCAGATTACATAAAAATGGAGAGTATCTTGGCCTGTTCGGCCACTGTCGGCTTTTCAAGAAGCAACCCGCATTATGGAGTTAGTTACTCAGTAGGTCAAAGAGTATAATGAATCTCCTAAAGCTTCTCAAACTTTGTGTAAAGTATAAAGCTATCCCAAATGAGATTCTGGCAAACTAAATGTTACTACACAGTTCCATAGAACAAAGGCACAACTACAGAAACATTATGACTGGAGTGGAGGAAATGGCCCTAAGAAAACTTATGTTTAGTCAGTTGACATTTACTTTTGATTTTAGATCTGAACTGTTCGATATGTCAATAGTCACAACATACAATGACAGTTCAAATAAGCTTACGACCCACAAATTACGTAAGTGTTCCCCCAGCATTAATTGCTCACTTCCTCTTGAAGTCCCATCCAATTACTGCCACAGAACTCGCTGACAAAATAACTGAAATTAAACTCAGCCATCACACACACTCCAGAGTCACTTAAATATGATTAACTTCTTCAGAATCTATTTCCATAATTAATATTATTCTCCTATCTTAATAACATTTTCCCATAAAAATTCTGAACATATTTTTTCTTTCCTCCATCACAGTCTTTACGATTTCACTAATCCAACAGTGGAGTCGTTACTCGCCTGGAAACATCGCAGAACGGCCTCACAGAGGAACACGTACGCATGTGCAGGGTTGGGCCCATCATATTCCTGCAAAAGATAAAGTATCAGTCAAAAATGCAACTGCAGTTCACATACAAGACTTCAGCGTGTCACGTTGCACCTCGTCTGGCCGTCTCGGCTCGATCCAGAAACTTCTGAAACCTCTTCGCTGGTACATATCGGACAGATGACTTCAATCGACACTGCACTGTGGGCCAGATTTTATGAAGTGAATACTACAAATATCAATACATATTTACAAACGACGTGAATTACTCTTACATCCATAGAATAAAAATGTTAACTTACAACACAACATGACAAAGAGTTGTAATGCCACAACATACAAAACAATAAGAATTATTAATAGACACAATTATAACATGTAACCAACAAACTTTATCTTCAGAAGCTGACAGTACACTCGGCTAGTCGATAAATTCTCCATCTTTATAGAACAGATTCATTACCACATTCAGAACGTATGAATTCATTAAAAAGATCGGTATCATTTGCGCGAAACAAAACAGAAGTCTGAAAATGACAGTAAGCAACACATAACAAACGGGTGAACAGTCACGCTGCTGGTAGCGTAATGTTTATCATTTTATATAACTGAAAATAGCGCAGAATGCTTACTGTGATCGGACCCGCCTGAAGATGTAACTCGCTCAGTGCTGACAAGCCTCGATAGAACCCGACAAGTGCAAGCAACACTGAAAACACGGCCGCTACAATGGCATGCCACGCCAAAGGCTCCAACTTCGGAGGCGGGCCAACTATAAAACAAGTTAAAACATTTGTTATGTTTTTACAGTTACACATGTACATAGCTTAAAGTTTACATCATCATTGTCCATTAACATTTCCAATCAGTAGGTTATTGTCCAAGAGTCTCTCCTTGCACACGCATTCCTCTTGTACCTGCGTCCTCTTCTACGCATCCCCTCTGTCTCTGCATCTCGTCATACATCTTCTCAGCTGTCAGTTATTCAAAAAGTTTGTTTTGAAACTATAATCAAATTCCTTCTTCATCTACACCAGCATGGTCCAATTCTTAGACTGTGGCCATGTCTGGCCCAAGACCGCTTGTAATGATGCCCATAAAATTATTTAATTTGTTACTGGCTCACTAATTTTCTTTACTCTGTGCCACACATGCTATTGACTTAAAAACCCTAACATAAAATGTTGGTAGTCCAGATAAAAAAAAATGTGTCAGATTCAAGATGTTATAAGAACAAATTTAAACATGTTACTTTAATTACAAGCGGCTTGTACTTCTTGACATTTAAATTTGGTTTGGTGTCAAGGGCTTTATGACATAAAAATTTCATGGACACAACTATCCCTTGGCAGGGAACAGTTCTTATAACGTCTGCATTATGAAATCGAGAATCAGACACAAGGCTCACCTGATAACTTGGCAAGGTTCATGCTTGACTGGTAACCATTGATGACTGGTTCCACTTGGGACAGCTGAACTATGTGTGGTGGCCTCAACTTTATTTCTGTGCTAAGATCTGTTAGGTTGATTTTTGTTGTTAGACTCTGTGGCTTATTATAGCGCTGTCTGGTCTTGTGGATAACACTGTCTGAAATTACAATACATCCATCTCTGAATTCAAGTTAAATTTAACATAATTATTAAACACAACATGACAAGGAATATTTTGGAGGTACTAATGATAACTGAGCGTTGAAGATTCTTTTTATCTTTTACAGACTCAGTTCAACAGCCATAAGTATTTTAATCTTAGATAATGTATGTTCATGCTGAGAGGGGACTCATGCAATTAAATTGAGATCATCCTCACACCTAGGCAAAACCATCACCACATAAGTGTTTGCACTTGTACCATAGAGTGACCTGTTTTTTTTTCTTTTTCCTCAATGCCATGCCTGTGCTTATATCAATAAAGTTAAAATAGACTTACTTATATTTACACATACTTCTCTGAAGAATCTATGTTAGATTGTGTTTGTTTACATTACAACATACTAGGTTCATGTTGGGTAAGATATGAAATCTGTAACAAGCTTTGTGGTGACATGGGTGCAAGAACACAGAGAGAGAAATACATCACTTTCCCCAATAATACAGAATTAAATAAATAATAAAGCAGTTCTCACCAAATTCTATAAATGAATATGGCCGACGAACAAGGTTCACTTTATTCAATTCATACTTTGTAACAAATTCTCTCATGATTTCATTCAGAAAGCTGAATGCCAGAACAGTTGGATACGTAGCCTCACACATAGCAAAGTAGGACAATCCGAGTGTCGTTATGAAGCTGGAAAGCAAGAACAACTTAATGTTATTGAATAATCAAATTAGAATCATTTGAAACAATCATTTGATTTTATATAAACTTTAAATAAAACGAAGCATAACAAGTCTTCCTTACTCAAGACGACATAATAAATCTGCTTAAGTAACTGCCTAATGAATTTTGACATAAAATGTGTAAAGTCCAAAACATTTTCTGAAAGTTTGGAACCTAACCTACAAACAGTACAATCGGCTCTCAAACACATATCTTCTATTGGGGTCAATACTTACTGGATTGTGTGTGTATTAAGTTTCAGTGTACATCTCTCAGGAAACTGGTACGCCTTTTTGGCAAGCAACTTCACATAACGTTTACTTTCTTTAATATTCCTATTAACTTCATCATTGAAATCTGTGGTGGCAGAAAGTGCCATGCCGTCTGCAGTACGAACTATCAAGGCATAAACAATCATTATATTGAATAATTGTACCCCCTAACATAACACCCAAAGAAAATAATTTACAAATGATTACGAAACACAACCAACAAATCACTCATACTATCTTGCCCCCGTGGAAGATAAACAGCTGTCTAATATAGCCATGTTCTTGTTGTTTTTTTTACGTACGTAGCATGTGCGCCAACATTAGAAAGGGTAGATTTTAATATCAACTTGAGTGTCTTCATAAATTCGTGTAGTTATAAAATAAGTTTGTAAGCTAGGTTTAATACACCAGTTGGCCACCCTTATACGTTGGACGCCTGCGTCATGAGGAGGAAAATTTGAATTTACATTACTTTAGTGTAACAAATTTCCTTAATTGATATCGACTATTCATTGGTTTTGTTTATTTTGGTTAAACATAATTAAAGTATTATAGTAATTCTTATCTTTGAAATAAAAACGTTTTATAAACCTTAACCACACCATTAAGGAAGCACTACATTAAAGCAGCAGTCAGCTTCAAGCACCAACCACATTTACTACTGTCCAAAGGTGGTAGGAGTCCTATTGAATGGAAGACTAAGTGAATCCCAGAACCATAAATAACTACAATGAGCAAGAGTCCTTTCTGAGAAGCTATTACACTCCTAGCTGGTCATAATTTCTATCCTACGCCAAATGAATTCAGTTCTTGCTCCAATCAGTTTCTCATTTTAATATTATTTTCCCACCTATGCCTAGGCTTTCCTGATTTTCTGACAATTTTATACTAATTCTCATATTGTCCATGTATGCTACATATCCTCCTTGACTTGATCACATATTTGATGAATAGTACAGATTATGAAGCTCCTCATACCATTTTTTTTACCTCAGCATTGTCACTTCATCTCACATAAGTAAAAAATATTCTCATCAGCACCCTGTTAAGACTCTCCATGTTCTTCCCTTAAAGTTAAAGATGGATTTCACAACTATATAAAAAAACAGATCCAATTAGTTTTGCAAATTTTAATCTTCCCAGAACCGTTCTGCTACAAACATAACCCCATTCTTAGCATAAAATACCCAATTCTTAACAATGTGAAACGAGGTAAAATATTTCTTTACGTGCTGACATTTATTTCTGTACAAAACGAATTAGATAAACACTTATTAAATGAATTGCAACAGGAATTTCCTTATACAATTGTTTTAGCTTCATCAATAATTCAATATTTAAAGGCTTCGTGAATATTTTTGAAATATTCTATGAAATCCAACAGCAGGAGTTTGTGTCATGGCCACCAAACATGGAACATTCACATGAACACATCCTCAAGAACAAAAGCACATACATTGTATTTTAAAATTACTGTGTTCTGAAAATCCCACTATTGGACCTATCTTAAACGCAGAAGCTGCAGAATTTCTTGCTGTAGGGCCTCACACCTCAATTGGGATGCCTCAATATTATTCAAGCGTTCCTCATAAGATTCAAACACTGCCCAGCAATCTAACTGCTGCCTTGCTTCATCATTTTTCTTTTGCACAATGTTGGCTGCCTGCAGAAGAACTTTGTGGTCCAGCCTGTAATTCCAAGTCACATTCACACTGTTTCCAAATGGATACACAATATTTGCATAGTCAAAGCTTGAGTCAGGGAAAAGTAAGACACTGTGATGAATGTTCCTGAAACACTGCAACCAGCTGAATGACAGCCACAGGTATACAAAGGACTTAAAAATCCCCACAATCACTGCATTATGGCTTAGGTTGAGCCGTCTCATCCACATATGGATACACACGGGATTCCCCAGCACCAGCTTTTCAATGTCAAATACTGCATTCACCTCTGCTGTCAGACGTACAAGCTCTGATTTACTTTGAACATTCTGAACGTGGCTAACAGCCAAGCCAGTGAACATGTTCAGAAGAACAAGAGTTAGGAAGAACATGAACATTATGAAAATTATATGACTTGTCCCAGAAGCTGTTTCAAATGGAAGGAACTTAGTTTCAAATCCCCCCACAAACATGCTGACAGTTGTGAAGAAAGAGATCAGTGGATTGTGAAATAGTTTGCTCGAGACATTTTTCTCTGCAATATATGCCTTGCTGTCATGAAACAGGGCATAGAAACTGAGAGAAAAAGCTATAATCAAGAGAGAATACCAAGCCAGATGCTTCAGAAATGTACAGGAGATTTTCTGGAACATGTGGAAACATATGGATATGGCTGGATGTTCTCCTGTTAAAAGAAGTAACCGGGTCCACGCTAGGAACAGCGTGATCACCGTCACTGCACTATCTCCAGTACCCGAATCAATGAATAAGACATTGATCGTCAACAGCGTCAGAACCAACTGTGGGTAGGTACTCCACTTGTGGAGATACTGTACTGGAGATATGCAAACTTGAAACAAAAGCTTGAAAATCAGACAGAAACAGCAAATGGCCAGCAGAGTGATCATAATAATCTTGAAGAAACAGACAGCTGACAGGTTCAACCAGCAGGATTTCCTGTGTTCATCAATGGCAGTTATGTGGTGGTGAAGTATGATAAAGGTCACAAGCAACACAAAGAAAACATAAAATGCAAGATTATAGTAATAGAATTTTTGTACATGTTGCCATTTGAGATGTACAAAACTTGATATTATCGGATGAAGAAGCAGGTGTTGTTGTTTAGATGAGAGGCTGATCTGAACTATGGGGTCCATTTCTGGACTTGGACTGCTTAATTTCTTTATCACATTGTCTTTCTCATCAGACAACTTGTTTTTCAGCAAAGCAGAGTCAAGGGCTACTGGTGGGACAAGAAAGTCATACTTGAACAACAGTGACTCATCATTTGGCATCTTCAAGCGTGTGTTTAAGAATTTTTCTAGAGTCTCTGGTTCGATGTCAGAGACTGGCATGTCCCCTGCATGGTTTCTTGACCCGATATATGAGCCGTGTTCCAACAGGGCCAGAACAGTGTCCTGGTCTTTGTTCTGAGCAGCGTAGTGAAGAGCAGTGTTGCCAAGCCAATCTAAAGCATCCACATTTATTTTATCATCACATAGCAGCACTTGAAGTGTTTCATAGCACCCCAGCTCAGCTGTGATATGAAGAGGAGTTTGTAAGAGCACAGGGTTCAATATGTTGGGGTCTGCTCCATGCTGCAGTAACTGTTGAACAAACTGTGCGCAGTCCGCTTCTCTGCATGCTGATTCCAGAACAGAACTAAAAGCATCCACCCTACAATGATCAAGTAGCTGTGTGAACTTGTCCAAGTCCCGCATTTGCAGGGCTGCCAACAGCTGGGCCTGGTACTGCACTGGGCTGATGCTAACATCAGCGAGCTGTACGTCCACCTTACTCATCTCTCGGACAAATGAATATGTTGAATCTCTGTATTGTGAAATAGATACTCAGAATAAAACTTTGCTTCTAATCAAGAGTTCTGAGAGTATGTATAATACACAGATTTGAAGGCAGGGTAAAACCTCATTTTATCACTTCTACCTATACAATAGTTTTTCCACATATAAGAACTATTCTACAATTTCTAAGCATCATTCAATTAAGATGTAGATGAGTGGTCAACCTCGCATTCAGGCTGGTAATCACCATTTCTACACCACAGTAGCTATACCTCTAAACCGTCAACTCTGGAGTAAAAGTTTGAGGGTCAGTCCCACAGTACAAGGGTTTAAATACTCTATCAGGTATAATAAAGGTTAACCCCAAAGTAATAATCACTAGAAATGTATGTTTCATTCAGCAGTTCTTGAACTACGATTGTGAACCAATTGAAAAATTTCCAGATGCTTGCTGGCTCCAACAGAATATTACAGAGGAATTGTATAACATAAATATCATATGGACACATCAAACCATTGACACAATCTGACATCAGAATCCTAACATCCAACATGACTCACCAACAGAACAATTGAATACAACTTAAGGTTTACCTCTTCATTACGTTTGTTGCTATTACCATGCAATTTCCCTAATAACATTTTATATGCATTTCTCATCTATGCTTATTACATGGCTGGTCCATAATCACAACTGTGGAACAAATATTAAAAAGCCCACCACTGGACACATCCATATCCACATTCTCTCATGTTTAATATCCAGTTTAATATTATCCAATGACCTCAGATTCTGGTCTTCGGATTGGCTGCTTACAATACGAGCCGCTCGAAGATGGCTCACTCCAGGGTTACACTGACTTCATCAAGCAGTCAACACTTACTGAAGCAGCCAAGCAATTTGTTAACTTTTTATGGAACCAGAGTATTCATTACTGTGTTCACAACGGTCCCCCACTTGACCACATCCTTAGTTAGTTCAATACACTTCACATCTTCAAATCTATACGTAGCTCTCCCAAGTGATTTTCCCACAAATTTCCCCAGTCAAAACTCGGCATGTATTTCTTATTTCCTCTGATCTAAACCCAGGCCAATGCAATTTGGAGGCCCAGACAGTACCATATCTAAATAAAATAAAATAAAATAAGTTTTATAACAACAAGAACAACAATTAATTTATTTAACTGCCTGTCCTCTTAATTTCACTGTGAAATTCATGCATCAAACGTGATATTACCTACTTCTACATACAGTTAAGACCAATGCTGGGTTTTCTCTGCCCAGTTCTAAAGATTAAAATATTTCCCTCTTTATTTAGAGGAGATACACACACTTTCTTTGACAAAACAAATGCGAAGACAAACTTCCTACGAAAAGGAATTGTCCACCACTGCACCAAGACATAGGACCTTTATACTAATTCTCATATTGTCCATGTATGCTACATATCCTCCTTGACTTGATCACATATTTGATGAATAGTACAGATTATGAAGCTCCTCATACCATTTTTTTTACCTCAGCATTGTCACTTCATCTCACATAAGTAAAAAATATTCTCATCAGCACCCTGTTAAGACTCTCCATGTTCTTCCCTTAAAGTTAAAGATGGATTTCACAACTATATAAAAAAACAGATCCAATTAGTTTTGCAAATTTTAATCTTCCCAGAACCGTTCTGCTACAAACATAACCCCATTCTTAGCATAAAATACCCAATTCTTAACAATGTGAAACGAGGTAAAATATTTCTTTACGTGCTGACATTTATTTCTGTACAAAACGAATTAGATAAACACTTATTAAATGAATTGCAACAGGAATTTCCTTATACAATTGTTTTAGCTTCATCAATAATTCAATATTTAAAGGCTTCGTGAATATTTTTGAAATATTCTATGAAATCCAACAGCAGGAGTTTGTGTCATGGCCACCAAACATGGAACATTCACATGAACACATCCTCAAGAACAAAAGCACATACATTGTATTTTAAAATTACTGTGTTCTGAAAATCCCACTATTGGACCTATCTTAAACGCAGAAGCTGCAGAATTTCTTGCTGTAGGGCCTCACACCTCAATTGGGATGCCTCAATATTATTCAAGCGTTCCTCATAAGATTCAAACACTGCCCAGCAATCTAACTGCTGCCTTGCTTCATCATTTTTCTTTTGCACAATGTTGGCTGCCTGCAGAAGAACTTTGTGGTCCAGCCTGTAATTCCAAGTCACATTCACACTGTTTCCAAATGGATACACAATATTTGCATAGTCAAAGCTTGAGTCAGGGAAAAGTAAGACACTGTGATGAATGTTCCTGAAACACTGCAACCAGCTGAATGACAGCCACAGGTATACAAAGGACTTAAAAATCCCCACAATCACTGCATTATGGCTTAGGTTGAGCCGTCTCATCCACATATGGATACACACGGGATTCCCCAGCACCAGCTTTTCAATGTCAAATACTGCATTCACCTCTGCTGTCAGACGTACAAGCTCTGATTTACTTTGAACATTCTGAACGTGGCTAACAGCCAAGCCAGTGAACATGTTCAGAAGAACAAGAGTTAGGAAGAACATGAACATTATGAAAATTATATGACTTGTCCCAGAAGCTGTTTCAAATGGAAGGAACTTAGTTTCAAATCCCCCCACAAACATGCTGACAGTTGTGAAGAAAGAGATCAGTGGATTGTGAAATAGTTTGCTCGAGACATTTTTCTCTGCAATATATGCCTTGCTGTCATGAAACAGGGCATAGAAACTGAGAGAAAAAGCTATAATCAAGAGAGAATACCAAGCCAGATGCTTCAGAAATGTACAGGAGATTTTCTGGAACATGTGGAAACATATGGATATGGCTGGATGTTCTCCTGTTAAAAGAAGTAACCGGGTCCACGCTAGGAACAGCGTGATCACCGTCACTGCACTATCTCCAGTACCCGAATCAATGAATAAGACATTGATCGTCAACAGCGTCAGAACCAACTGTGGGTAGGTACTCCACTTGTGGAGATACTGTACTGGAGATATGCAAACTTGAAACAAAAGCTTGAAAATCAGACAGAAACAGCAAATGGCCAGCAGAGTGATCATAATAATCTTGAAGAAACAGACAGCTGACAGGTTCAACCAGCAGGATTTCCTGTGTTCATCAATGGCAGTTATGTGGTGGTGAAGTATGATAAAGGTCACAAGCAACACAAAGAAAACATAAAATGCAAGATTATAGTAATAGAATTTTTGTACATGTTGCCATTTGAGATGTACAAAACTTGATATTATCGGATGAAGAAGCAGGTGTTGTTGTTTAGATGAGAGGCTGATCTGAACTATGGGGTCCATTTCTGGACTTGGACTGCTTAATTTCTTTATCACATTGTCTTTCTCATCAGACAACTTGTTTTTCAGCAAAGCAGAGTCAAGGGCTACTGGTGGGACAAGAAAGTCATACTTGAACAACAGTGACTCATCATTTGGCATCTTCAAGCGTGTGTTTAAGAATTTTTCTAGAGTCTCTGGTTCGATGTCAGAGACTGGCATGTCCCCTGCATGGTTTCTTGACCCGATATATGAGCCGTGTTCCAACAGGGCCAGAACAGTGTCCTGGTCTTTGTTCTGAGCAGCGTAGTGAAGAGCAGTGTTGCCAAGCCAATCTAAAGCATCCACATTTATTTTATCATCACATAGCAGCACTTGAAGTGTTTCATAGCACCCCAGCTCAGCTGTGATATGAAGAGGAGTTTGTAAGAGCACAGGGTTCAATATGTTGGGGTCTGCTCCATGCTGCAGTAACTGTTGAACAAACTGTGCGCAGTCCGCTTCTCTGCATGCTGATTCCAGAACAGAACTAAAAGCATCCACCCTACAATGATCAAGTAGCTGTGTGAACTTGTCCAAGTCCCGCATTTGCAGGGCTGCCAACAGCTGGGCCTGGTACTGCACTGGGCTGATGCTAACATCAGCGAGCTGTACGTCCACCTTACTCATCTCTCGGACAAATGAATATGTTGAATCTCTGTATTGTGAAATAGATACTCAGAATAAAACTTTGCTTCTAATCAAGAGTTCTGAGAGTATGTATAATACACAGATTTGAAGGCAGGGTAAAACCTCATTTTATCACTTCTACCTATACAATAGTTTTTCCACATATAAGAACTATTCTACAATTTCTAAGCATCATTCAATTAAGATGTAGATGAGTGGTCAACCTCGCATTCAGGCTGGTAATCACCATTTCTACACCACAGTAGCTATACCTCTAAACCGTCAACTCTGGAGTAAAAGTTTGAGGGTCAGTCCCACAGTACAAGGGTTTAAATACTCTATCAGGTATAATAAAGGTTAACCCCAAAGTAATAATCACTAGAAATGTATGTTTCATTCAGCAGTTCTTGAACTACGATTGTGAACCAATTGAAAAATTTCCAGATGCTTGCTGGCTCCAACAGAATATTACAGAGGAATTGTATAACATAAATATCATATGGACACATCAAACCATTGACACAATCTGACATCAGAATCCTAACATCCAACATGACTCACCAACAGAACAATTGAATACAACTTAAGGTTTACCTCTTCATTACGTTTGTTGCTATTACCATGCAATTTCCCTAATAACATTTTATATGCATTTCTCATCTATGCTTATTACATGGCTGGTCCATAATCACAACTGTGGAACAAATATTAAAAAGCCCACCACTGGACACATCCATATCCACATTCTCTCATGTTTAATATCCAGTTTAATATTATCCAATGACCTCAGATTCTGGTCTTCGGATTGGCTGCTTACAATACGAGCCGCTCGAAGATGGCTCACTCCAGGGTTACACTGACTTCATCAAGCAGTCAACACTTACTGAAGCAGCCAAGCAATTTGTTAACTTTTTATGGAACCAGAGTATTCATTACTGTGTTCACAACGGTCCCCCACTTGACCACATCCTTAGTTAGTTCAATACACTTCACATCTTCAAATCTATACGTAGCTCTCCCAAGTGATTTTCCCACAAATTTCCCCAGTCAAAACTCGGCATGTATTTCTTATTTCCTCTGATCTAAACCCAGGCCAATGCAATTTGGAGGCCCAGACAGTACCATATCTAAATAAAATAAAATAAAATAAGTTTTATAACAACAAGAACAACAATTAATTTATTTAACTGCCTGTCCTCTTAATTTCACTGTGAAATTCATGCATCAAACGTGATATTACCTACTTCTACATACAGTTAAGACCAATGCTGGGTTTTCTCTGCCCAGTTCTAAAGATTAAAATATTTCCCTCTTTATTTAGAGGAGATACACACACTTTCTTTGACAAAACAAATGCGAAGACAAACTTCCTACGAAAAGGAATTGTCCACCACTGCACCAAGACATAGGACCTGTTCAAACTTTGCAGCTTACCTGTTCAAGTTGCAAATGGAAGTCAAGACTGATAACAGCCTATCAACTATCAGAATTATCTCTCAATGTTGGTACACACCACTCCCAGTATTTGCTATTTGACATTCCAACAGAATATCAGCCACTGTACTGAAAGCAATGGAAACATCCTCACTGTGGGGTTATATTTAGTACTTTTCATAGATAAGCTAAAGTGGATTTGAAACTGGGAAGTACACAGTTCAAATACTAGTTGAGGTCATTCACAATTTACCATTTTCTCTCCAAGGGCAAGCCACATGTCAAAATGTTTCCTTCCAAACCTCTATAAAAACTACACAATGATAACTGGTCAACAGGAGAGGCCTGAGTAAAATCACAGTGGTGAAATTAAAATTAACACTTTTAGGACATGATAGCACAGATCTGTAGCTAGCAGTCAGTGGAACCAACAACTGACATACAATATTACATAAATTACAGCTTGAATTAAAATCACTCTTAATGATGACGATAACAGCAAAATAAGTAGTAGTAGTAAATAATAATACAAACAATAATAACAATAATACCACTGTACAAATATCAACCATTTCATTTTATAAACAACAAAATTACAAGTCACAGAGGAAGAGTACTCATTATAAACAAAATAATGTGGTCAACAAACCAGACATACCGGTGTATAATAAGAAAGCACAAGATGTCCATGTCTGATCAGGATAAAAATCCCACTAGGCAGCAATGTTGGAAGGCAACTACATGAGAAACTGTAACAAATATGTAAATTTGGCAAAAGAAAAGTAAATACATATGTGGATATTAGAAGAGGTGATAATTAAGCTAACTGTAATATCAGCAACAAGATGATCCTAGACAGCGTGGTACAAAACATTAAAGCATTAGAACTGCAGAAAAACCTTCCTGACACAACTATGCATTCTGTTAGCTACATGCTATTTTATATTCCAAACACAAAAAATTAAGAAAAGAAAAATATAAACCACAAAAATGTATTAACACGAAAAAATAATCTATGGGATTCACCAAAACCCAATTCGATGGGCTCCACAGTGGGCTGCATAAAGAATCAATTTATTATACTCTGTGTGTTTCATAATAGACACAGTTAAAATTACATTAGACACAAAATATTCCTGTACACACTGTTGCTCTTAAAAAGAACACACGAGCCCGCCAGGTGGCTCCAGGCGGGCTCGCTATCTGTTGTCATTAGGACATATACAACATTACAAAGTGCTGTTAACTGATCCACTGTTCCAATGTGGCAAACCTGCGCTACATGGGCAGAGTAACACTTTATAAAAACAGTCACACTTTAAATCAATGAAGGCACTTACGCTAGCAAAGAAGCTAGCCATTACATGAACCAACAAATTCCTTCATTACAAATTATAACAAAAGACTGTTCCTATAGTGGCATCAAAGACTTGGATGCTGCTGATAGTCACAGTGTTTCAAAATTCCAAAGAGATCAGCTGTCAGTCTAGTGAGACACGTTTAATTCTTAATATTCAATTTAATTTAAATATCATTTTAAGCTAGCGGGATCTGAGGATTTCACAGTGGTGAATCCAAAGACGGCTGTCTTCTGAGTTGAAGCACCATGTAGTCTGGTAGAAGTTTAACAACACATGGAACTCTGAAATGTTGATAAGTTTCTACCAAAGTACACAGTGCTACAACCCAGAAGACAGCCATCTTATATTTTAGGATAGTTCATACAAAGACAAAAATTTCTTCTAGTTCATTGCACTCCAACACAATAATTAAATGCAAATAATTTCTTCTGAAGCTCATGTAGAAATAGTAACAAAATAACTTGCCCAGCCAAATAAAATATTAATTCTGGCACATAAGATGCAGGCTTCAACAGCACAGTGTTTGATGAACTTATAAATTATCAGGTACAGAACACACTGAAAAGATTTAAGATATCAATAGCAAACATTATAAGATTTGTCTGAGCTCGGTATGCAACAAGGAAACATTATTTTCCAAACCACAATTTCAACATGTTCTACTGCTTTGAGTGTGGCAAACGCTCAAACAAAACTTTGAAGAGTAACAACTTGAGAAATATGTAGGGTTAGCATTTATTTTAAATTTTCATAGAATCACACATACTTAGCTGCTTACTGATGCACTGTCTTCAGGACAGTAGCTCAGGAGCAGGTCCAGAATAAACATGGCATCAGGATTCTGATTTGGCCCTGGTGCACCATCCCTCAAGACTGTCCTTAACATTCTGTGATGCTTGTCATTTTCATACTCATGGAGTCTGCTGGTCAGGTACATCACCTGCCTTTCCTCCGCCTTCAGACGGAGCATGCTCCTGTCAGCAATCCGTTCCAAATCACCAATTGCCTTTCTCATCTCTACCATCTTTTTCTCTGCAGAAATGCTAGTCCGTTCATCTATGTTAAATGAACTCAACGCCTGCTTCATATCTGGTAATGCCATTATTGGTTTCACATTTGTGTCTAAGAATGTTCCATTTGCCTTACCTCTGCTAGCGCTAATGGTTCTCCTCAATATTTTATCCCCACTAAAGGCAGTCTTCCTGCCCCTGTTCATATCAGTACTTGAGTCGCACTCGAACGAACAAGCGGCGCCCAAGACACTACTGCTCACGAGCAATTCTTTTAGCCTATCATCACTAGAACTCACTTTGCTAATGTTTGCATCCTGACCTACCTCAACCTGAGATGTTACTGCCATCATATCTATTTCAGTGTCATCAAGTAACACCTCTACAATCCACTCATCATCTGCAACAGAGTCGCCACCATCTAGCTTGCTTGGCTCAACAGGAATTTGCCGTGATTTCTTTGTCTTCTTGTCATCAGAGTAAACTTTCTTTGGTGCCGGCTGTTTCTTCACTGCCACTGGGTTCTTCTGCCGAACTGTCTTCGCTGCTCTCAAATCAGACTCTTTGACCTTCATAAGAAGCGGCACCATTTCCAATTTTGGAACCATCATCTTGTCTTTCCTATGAAAATTGTTTTCTTTACTTCTGTTTAAGGCCACATTCTTGTCCTGCATGGCCACAATCTTCGTCTTATCCTCTGGTCTTCGGTTAACGGCCAACTTCGTGCCCTGTTTGTATCTCGGATTTGCAAATGAGATTTGTTTTATGGTCTTCTTAGCCATGGTGGAGGGCCCCACTTTTTGCGACTTTGTCTTGTTCTTGCTAGATACCACTTTCTTTGGTATTACTTTCTTCTTCTTCCTCTTCACGCCTATTCTGACTGCAATGCTCGGCAGGTTTGTTGATGAGGTTCTCCGGAATGTCTTTGGTTTTGAAACAGACTCTTGTTGTTGCACTGGTTTCCTGATATTTTTCTGTTGTTTTGGTTTTGCAACAAGTTTCTGTTGTGATGATTTTTTCATGATTTTCAGCTGAGATGTTTTTCCTACAATTTTATGGTGAGTTTGTTTTCCCATAAGCTTCTGTTTTTCTGGTTTTGCTATAATTTTCTGCTGCAAGGCCAGCCTTCTCATGACTTTCTGTTCCTTTATTGGTTCCAATAAATGATCCTGAAATTTCTTTGGTTTGCCAACTTTCCTCTTATTCACTGCTGAACTCCCAATCAGAGTTTCCTGCAACACTGTTGAAACTTCTTCCAGTGTTTTGTGTAATTTCTGCTTTGTGTTTCCAATTCTCTCATTTTGGGCTGATAATGGCAGAATGTGTTCTGGTACTGGTATGCTGAGTTTCTTCAAAACAATCCTTGCATCCATCAATTTCTTACAGGGACCCTCTTTCTCTAATGCTGCATCATCACCATGCACTCTGTTTTCTTCAGATTTACTTACAGGAATTGTCTGCATATTCTGTTCAACCCCATGCGGTGATATAGTCACCTCCATAGTCGACGTGATGGGAACTGTCTTAGTCGTAGGTGCTCGTGCCACATTAACCCTGCCTGGATTTTGTGCACCAGACTCAGAATTCAATGTTACCTCTCCAACCAGATCAGTAACTTCAGAAGCTGAACGTTTTCGTCTTTTGAGTCGAGAAGCTGGATTCATTTCTAGTGGATCATACGAGGCTCTTCTTTTCTTTAAAAGCGGTGTGTCAAAATGTCTTTTTGCATCTACTAGATTAGAACCTTTGGAAAAAATTCCTTCCTTATGTCCCAACTTCCGACACAACTCTTTTGAATTCTGGCCCAATGTAGCACTATAGGAAAGAGATTCAGAATCCACAGACCCTTTTTTTTCATTCACAAAAACATCAAGTAATTTTGGCTCAGGTGTTTTAGAAGAAATATCCTTCTGACTTTCTGAAGACATTAACGAAAATTTTTCTCCAGAAACCAGCTCTGAGATAGCAGTGTTTGAAGGCAGAGGCCCAGTCTCTGTAGAAATTTTCCTCTTATTGGTGTTTGATTCTGCATTGTTTGTTTCTGGTTCTTCAGGTACTCTACATTCAGAAGCGTCAACAGAAACTAGTGGGAATTTCTCTCCAAGAATGTGGCCGACATCTGGACCAGTGTCAAATGACATTTTTCTTTTCGTAACCACTGGTGGACTATTCACAAAACTGGCTTCCCTGAGAACATTTGCTTTGCTAATAAATACTGAACCAGAAGACCCTGTTGAAATTCCAACCATTTTATTTTCAGTTTTGTTAGAATCTGACAAAACTTCCACTATTTTTATGGGAGGTCCACCATTTAATATTTTCAAATCTTCCAGACTTGATATTTTTGAGTCCACACTAAACACAGGGCTGTCCGATGTTGGCTGAACATCACAAGTAGTACCAACCCCACGTATGTGTTCTAAGTCAGGTTTTCTGCCCTGTGAGCTGTTCATACACGATCTGACAACTTTTAAGGCGGAGGAGTGCTGTTGCACGTCACTGGATTCACTTTCAGGTTTATTACTAGCTACGAAATCAGACTCTGCAGCTTGTAACTTTACTCTCGGGCCCAGCAGTTTCACTTCTTGCATCTTATTCTTATCAATGACTAGAGATGTCAGCATAACTACAGCTTTTTTACCTCTGTTTGCATCTGTCTGTAAATCCAATGGAGGTTCTTTCAAGATTTCAAGTGCACTATCATCAGCATCCTTCTTATCTTCCAGTTTTACTTTCTTAACAATCAATTCTTCCTCATTCACCAAAGCCAAAGAAGGAACTGGTACGACTTTGGAATCTGAAACCGGTGAACCTCTGTCCATTTTGCTTACATGTGTTGACTGTGAAACAGCATTTAACAAACCTTCTTTTACTACTGAGATGTCGGGTACTCTGCAGGAGAGCTCTTTTACTTCTGGCATTAAAGAGGGTACCTCATTTTGTTTCAAAGCAAGTATTTTTACATTTTTAGATGGGGAACATTTTTCAACACTGGAGACTACAAGGATTTCAGCTTCAGAAACTTTCACATTAGCTGAATCTTTATTTGAATTTGCCAGTGGCAATTGAGAACCTGGGGAAACACTTTTCACTGTTATCGTGCGCGCACCGGATGTTTTTTGTCCTTGTCTACAGCCTTCTGAAGTAAAGGCTTTGTCATCAACAGACCCCCAAGACGAAGCACGGGATTGAGAAACTTGTGCAGAACATTCAAACTTACTAGAGTTTGCTGCAGATTGTCCCAAACCTACTGAAAACTCCTTTGTTGCAATATTTCCAGCATCTGTGCATGCATTTTCTTCCTCCACATTTGATATTTTACAAGAAGATTCTGAAAGTGATGGATATTTAGATGCAGAGTTTTGTGCCAAGGTGGAGGGCCCACTTTCATTCTTTCTTGTAAGTGATGGCTCAACTTCCTTCTCAAAAAGCTTACATTCCTCACTTAGGACTACAGGAGAGCCTGCTTCTTCAGAATCTGAATCACCAGTACCTTCTAAACAACGCTGTAGTTCCTCCAGTTCTGCCAACAGTGACATGCTGACTAACTTGATTCTGCCTTAATATGAAGTCTTGACCTCATATCAGAACCGAGAAATGTGACGTGCAACAACATCCACCAGAGCACTGCAGGAACAAAAGAAACTATATTATGCAGCAATAGGAGCTATTATCACACATTTTTACCAGTCTACTATGAACTTCAACTGATGTAACTGATTTGCTGATCAGAGTATTTTCATGCAGTTATATAACAGGCTTTAACAAATGGAATTTGAATGTAGTCACTCAAATTCCTTACTAACCACAGGAAAGAAAAATCAGAAAACAACTAAACATGGAAGGCCACAAGAACACACCATCTCATACGATAATACCATCACAAACAAACTAAACTTCTGCACACAGTTGCAAGCAGCCTTGGCAGCTGAAATACCACTTCTTTCCCAATCCACCCAAATCCTGGTGTTACTTAAAAATTACTAATTTAAAAACTAAATAATGAACATCAAAACTTGGAATCGTTGCTGAATATTACTGTGGTAATCAAATCAAGAAAAATTCAATGCTTGGAACAAACACCGTTCACAAGACAGATGAGAAATACAGGAAAAACTTTGGTCAGAAATGCAGATGGAACAGACCCATGGAAAAACCAAAGCACAGGAGGTTAATAGTACGTAAATCCAGCCGAGCTTCTTTTGAAATATTTAAAAATTAATGTATGTCATTTTGCATTGCATTTTAGGTTAGAATGTGGGCATACTGCATCATAGGAGTGAGATGTTGACAATCAAGTAGTGCAATTGCAGAAACAGGAACTTCTAAAATATGTTACTTGCAAAACACACCTTTTATATCAACTCTACAAAACTATTAATTGCTTCAGAGTACTTTTTCACTACAAGGTTACTCACAAATCTAATGACATCATTATCGTAGTCATTAGGCATAACAGAAAAACGAAGACGCAAATGACCACAAAATGTTAAACAGTAACGCAAAACGTCTTTGCAAAAGTATTATAAATCAAACCACCAACGTCCACACATCTTTAAAAATCTCTCAATATGAGCATAAGCTAGTTTCACGTACCAACAAGGTTAAGTATAGATAGTAAAAACGACCAATAAAACAAATTTCGGTTCTTTTAAACTCATTATTAATGCATACAGATTATACCGAGTTACCTCAGTTATCTCAAACCTAGGTCATAAGAAATACACAAAACGAATATCCTCAAGAAGTTTAACCAAATAACACCATCACAACACCGTCCACAAACACTTCGAACTACGTCAGCCAAAACAGGAACTCAGCTCATTTGACCTGCGGTAATTAGAGGAAGTATTTTGCAATTTTAAAAACGACAACAGTGTTGAAACAAAGTTTTCGGACCAGTCTCACTTCTAATTAAATAAAACCTTCATTTCCAAAAGAAAGAGTTTTAGTTACTATCCTTCTTGGATTCTTCTGTAAAAATGTATTACTACGCACCACGGATCACAGGATTAAGGCACAGTTAATCAAAATAACTACTAGTATTTGTAAGATCACTGTTTGATGTCCGTAGCACCTGATTATGGTACGCAAGTCTTGGAGGGTTTTACAGAAGCACTTCTGAATTGACATCAGCCTAGTTGATAATCCATGCAGTTTCTCCATCTGGAATGCTGAAATTTAACCATGTCACACTGCCACAGTTACCTCCAACATGCCTGTTTAATTTCAACAACCATCATAAAAGAGGTTAAAAAATGGAACATTCATCTGGGACCATTCTCCTTTGAGACTGATTTTCATCATCCTATGCAACTTCAGTTACATTCTTCTGTTGTTTTCCTGCCTGGAATTCTAGAATGGTTACATTATAATGTAAAATTAATCCGATGTGTGTTATGCATTTCTCCAGTTTGTATGGCCAGCGCACAAAAGGAATGTGTAAATGGTATGTCACATCCTTCTACAATGTAAGACTGTAATCTTGAGACTTGCAGGGTGAGGAAGTGGGGTGAAGGACGAAAGATAGCGTCAGCCTTTAACTCTTCGGACTTCCTGCATTCCTTGCAAGTCTCAAGATTACAGTCGCCTACTATACTTGTCCACACATTTTATTTCTCAAAGTAGTTATATATTGCGATCAAATTTGTACCAGAGATTTACACTCAAAATTACCTAGTGAATTTATTTTGGTCACTCCAGTATGCTTTAACAAGTGATTCAAAACAAGCCTTACCAAACTTCCCCACCACGGCTCACTGTAAGAACTTATACATAGAGGAACAAATTGCAGCAACTCTAGCGTATAATGTACATAATGTTGACTAGGAAACTTTAACAGAGATTTCAGATCTGGGACTGGGAATGTGTGTGAAGAGAAACTGCCAAGATGCAGTGATATGAAATGAAAAGAACAGTCCAGCCAATATTAAAATGTCTTTAGTATTTATTGTATTAACACCAGCTTATCGCTTTAGTACTAAAAAAATGTTATTTTAAAAAAATGGACACTGCAAATAATTATGACAATGCTTTCGAAGTACAACTGAATTCACAGAACCACAACCCAAAAGTAAAATATTAATACATAGTAAAGCATTAAAAGAGAAAGACTTGGTGGGTTGTGGCTGTGTCTGTGTAAGCACCATGTCCAGTCTCTCTTCCTCTCCAAATTGGTTGCTAGTAGAAGTCAGAGTCTGAGCTGTTGTGAGAGAGATTTGATTGGTCCCCAGCAGCAGCCTTCATCTCTGGCGAAGTGACGTTGTTGTACACTGAATAGTCAATTGACGACAGTGGATGCAGCTGCAGCAGTTGTGTCAGTGTCGGATGTTTCTTGAGACCTGCCCCAACAAACAATTGTTCATCTGGCCATGAAGAAAGTTCTCCAGAAATGTAACGACATTTCTCGCCTTTCTTTCGTATATTATTTGCGCTCAGCAAACAAGGTAAAAGCATAAATGTTGGGCTATGTCTCTCTGCAGGTTTCACTTCCAAGATGACATACAAATTCAGCTCAACCTGATATGGAAGGTGTATACTAAAACCTGTCAGTCAAATTTCATTTTGGTCCACTATAATCCCTACTTTATGCCCAAATCAAAACATCTATGTCTCTACTATGTGTTTCTTGTATAAAGTACATAATATGAACACATAATGATGAGGTCCAGTCTGTTCTTCTATCTTTCTCAACTCGACAGCCACTTAAACAATCCTTATTACATGTTGTAAAAGAGATCTATGTAATTCTCTCCATTACTATGATTTAATTTTCTTCTCATCGCTTCGTTTCTGAGCAACATACCTATTGACTAACTAGATGATGGTTTGTTTACAGCCCACTTACACGTTATTTTACATTTTCTCCACACCAGATGCAACAGCTACACTGCTATCATGCAATCAAATGACTTACCTATACCTGCATCTCAAGTTAATAAAATAGTACACGAACTATTATTGCCTCTCACAACCCATATAAAACTGATCATACTGTAGAAATGTAATATAATACACAACCCTCATTACTATTATAATGTAAGCATAGCAAGAGTCACACATTTTTCAAGAGACAAAGAAAGCCAATGACATGTAAAGTTATTTCATTGGTATCAAAAACATATAAGAATAAGATAGGAAGAGAACTGTAAAATCTTGGCAACAGTACAGGACTACAACGTTAAATCACAGATTTCACTGCACTCACTTTGTGCCACTGTTCTCACCTTTCTGAAAGTTATTTGGTTGTTGTGCCAAAAGCGTGACTGAAGGATACATCGAGAGGATGATGGCAAGACACTCGGCCACATTGCGGTCTGGGGCACAGGCCAAGGCAGGGGTCATTCCGTCGCAGTCCACGGCAAGCACAGATGCTCCCTTCTCCAGTAGCAGACGTGTCACGGCAACCATGCCATGTCGAGATGACAGATGCAGTGGCCTGAAAGGCGAACGTATATAAAGTTCTCGATTAACATCATGTGCATTGCGCTTCCTCCACACATCTCAAACTGACTCGCTCATGTTCAATTATGTCACATGCTCTAGAAGATACCACCAAATGTGTCTTTATTTATTGACAATAACCTCAAATTTTCAGGAGATACTCAAAGGAAAAAAAGGTGAACATTCTATTCACGGCAGTTTGGTTCAGTGACGGAAAATAAATGAATGTAGACCATCAGAATGTCCCAGGTGTCAGTGTTGAGTCCATCATCTAACAAAGTTTGAAATAAATGCATCTCTTTACACCAACATTAATTGCAATTATTTTTATTTCTTACAGAAGTTGTCAGGACTGAATCCAGAATCATAATGTATGTATCTAGTACACTACATCACTAACATGATCCTAATATATTGAAGAAATTGGCATAAACTGGCCTATGTTAGTGATGGAAGCAGTAAGCACATATGAAATTTCAAATTTCAGTCTATTTTACAGACTACATGGCACATCTCAGAAGACAGCCATCTTCAGAAATAATATGATCTAAATTGAAATTAAATACCCAGAAGACTAATTTGTACACATACGTGCGCAGTTCCTTGTTTGTCATATTGACGACTTCCACATCATCCGTCCTCTCGAGCAAGAGGAGGGCCGAGCGGCTGTGTTTACGTTGGCAAGCATGGTGGAGGGCAGTGTTGCTCTGCAGATCACATGCCTTGATGTTTGCCTTCCAGTCCAAGAGCAATTCTGCAACATGGAGTACAGTTACTAGCATGCCAAATACAAAAATTGTAGCCAGATTTAACTTGCCAGAGGAAGAGAAAGCAGACAGAGAACACAAATGAACTGAACGTAACGGCATGAATTGTACTATGAAAGCAAGCAAGGATAAAAAGTAGGTTTATCAGTGGACTGATTCATATGAAATTTGGTATTACCATTATGCGACTGGAGGCAAACCTAACACAATACAGGTGATTCTCATTATGCACTGAGATTGTGTTCCTACAAATCGCTACATATAATGAAAACATGTAAGACAGAATTATTTAATGCTAAATTTATCTGCATCACAACACATGATAAGCTTGGAGAAGGTTCGACATAGGTAACAAGGCTTTAAAATTTCACTGCAGATACGATATTGATGCTCCTCATAATAATGAAATAAAACTGAAGATAGATTATGTACACGCACATAAAGAGTCATTTTTAATTTTTAGTTTCCTACAACTGGTAATAACGTAGAAGACAAGCAAACTTGTGAGATGGGAGGAACACTAATGCAAGTCAGTCTTGTGGTAGCACAATTTCTTCCCTATAAGACATTCTTAGATTCTGTGTTCAAATGCAATGCCTTACTTGTAATATGTCCCACTAACGGTTCACAAATTCAGTAGCACTCACCGATAGCATTGCACTGCCCACTGTATGCAGCCAGGAGGAGTGGAGTCTTCCCAGTGATGTCACTGGCCTCCACACTTGCTCCGTGGCTCAGCAATAACTGCATACACTCCAAATTGTTATAAAATGCAGCCACATGGAGGGGGGTGCGCCCTCGATGGTCCCTCAAGTTCACAATAGATGATCCAAAGTGTCCAATTAGCAGCTCCAAGCACTGCTCGCTGCCTTGGAAGCTAGGAAGTATTACATTGTATCAGTCTCTGCCCATGACTTACTTCCAATAAACTTCTTATACGCAAGTCTAAAAATCTTCACTTTCAGTTAAAATTAGAATTCAGGGTATTAACTTCGTGGTTTAACCCATTAAACTGAGTAAATGCATTAACGTGGCCACTGTTTAGGATGAACATTCAATACACTTCAAACAAGAACTTTATGAGATATGGGGTTCTTGTGTTTTACGGAACTCAATCACCTGCTTAGAAAGTTATTTTTAAGAATGAAATTCAATTTAAAATATGGATTCCACGTACAGCTTGAACCTCTGACAGCATTCACACGTCCAAAGGGACGCCAAACTACTTACGGATTGCTCCTGCACTTGCCAATGCATGCGCAAACAAAGGAAACACAACACATCAAGTGTAAGCTGCAGCAACTTCTGCCATTTTCTTCACAGGAAACAAAGTTCCATTTCTTTACAAAACAAATGTGTGGGTTTTAATTTAATTAATAGTGAATAATTTCTAACCTATCACTGAAATTTAGCACAGCGATCGATATCAGAACCAAATCAGCGAAAGCTTGGAAAACAAATGACAGTGTAATCCACATTAAATTTTCACTAATCTACAGATCAACCCAAGTTAGAGTTCAAATTTTATGACCCCAATCTGTCTCCATGTTAAATTTCTTCTGTTTAGTGTTGAAATTCATCACTCACCAGATAAATGCCATGTTTACGTTTCACTTTGCAATGCAGAAGAGGCAATGAAGTGAGGGAATATGTGAGCAAGCCAGTGAGTGGGTGAACCAGCGATTAAGTAAGCAAGCAGATGATTAAGTGGATGAGATGATCTATTTTACAGTGCTTGCTCTCTTTCTTTTGAAATGTGTTATGTTCCACAGATGAATTGGGCTCACGAGTTCGCAAAACTACGTAATAAGTAAATATGTCCAAATATGAATCATCAAATAGCAACTTCATACCCATTCCTCTCTTCCACTTACTTAGTCTGTATGCACTCATGTGCTAAGGCTACTTAATTTCTACACCACAGTCACATATTAAACTGTAGTGATACTTACACAGAACAGTGAACAGGTGAGAATGAGTTTCCCTCCATATTTCCAATGTGCTTCTGCCCAAGAAGATACTCCACACAGTTTGCATTACCTGCAATCAGACAACAACTTCCAATTCTTCAGATCCAGATCAGGGTGTTTTATGATTCAAAATGTAAGCACTCAAAATAAA